AATACAAGAAAATATAAATGAAATGTAACAGTGCAGGGAGGCCGGAAGCATAAAATGCTTATGAGGAGGCCTCCCTTCATAATGTGATTAACAATTCAAATAAATCGGACAAATAACTTAGGTAACGGGTAAATGAAACAAAACAATAAAATACAATACGATACAATACTATCTACAATGATGAAAAGTAGTAATGAAAGTAGTAAACAAGGAAACATAAACAAAAATTAGGAATGTGTGAGGTTATTTATGAAAGCTTCTTTAGTATGATTTTTGAAAATGGTGAAGGAGGGACTAATTTGTAAAGTTCTACTTACTATATAATACATGTAGGTTGTTCCAAATTGTTGGGCCCCTGTACGTGATTGTAAATTGACGTAGATTCGATTTCGCATTGGACGGCCTTAAATAATTGTGTTGACGTGTGAAGTGGTTGTGGATATCTGAGTTCAATAAGAAGGTGTAGGTGTCGTGGAAGGTTTCAGGAAGGCAAGGGCATTTCGCACACCGAAAAAATAATGCCGCCACCCAACAAGTCTGCGAAGGAGGCTAGCTACATGTAAGCTGGCGGGGATGGCCCTCGCCCTAACACGTCCTGTTTAAAGCTAGGCAACAGGTAACAAGGGGTTTTAGAACCATTTTCCTGGAGAAGAGGCAATTTATGAAAGAATGTACAACCCCACCCTCAACAGGGAAGGGGGACTACGGGTAGATCTCTCAGGCACTTGAATTTGGCGCTCCCAGCCCCGAGGACAGACAACACTTAAGCTCCTGCTCTGCATGTCTGCTTTCTGACTAATTTTCATTATCTTGTCTAACTTTTGTTTCTTTTTGGACTTCCAAAAATTGTCTTCACTTATATGCATATCAATCAATAGTTAGTGCTTATAAACCTGCATTTCTCCTCTGGTCTCTCTGCCACTGACGAAAGGTAGTGGATACTAGCTGAAACGTCTGACCGTTTCCAAAATCATATCCAGTTGCTTGAGTAACTGCTTTTCGGAGTATTTTCCTGGATCTTCTGTGCATAAGAATAGACTTGAACTTAATTCGATAACACCAACTGTCTTGAGGATCGTTACAGCATATATCCGCGAAAGCCCCCGCCTTTACAGCTTGAAAGTTTTGGAATACCCTTTGCAGATATTCTAAGCGCTTGGATAAGAGGCACTTCTCCTGTGTGATCCTTAAACGCGGAGCAGGGGAGACTAGCCCTGGGGAAGTTTGGCTGGGCCAGCAAATTCTCCCCCGTAGCGGTAATTTAGATAGGCGGGCGAAGGGCTCTTAGCTGCCGAAGGAAAACGGCTAACGGCCCGATATACAAGTTTGGCACAAAGGGTACACACACACACACACACACACACACACACACACACACACACACACACACACACACACACACACACACACACACACACACACACACACACACACACACACACACCACTGCAGTTCCAGAACAGGCCGCAAGGTTAAAGGCAGAAGTTAAGTTGATTCTTCCCCAGCACAGGAGCTGTCTATAAATAACTACTTTTTGTCCTGGCGATCAAACAATGTACGGTATACAATGCAACCAGTTACAACACAGATATAAATTGATTTACAAAACACAAGGCTTATGTACTATATATCATTTTACGTAGATTTGATAATGATAGCAAATGTGCCGCATGTCTAACAAGCCGCTAGGGGGCCAAAACTCATGTCACTTCCTCCCCAGCCCGAGAGCTATCTACCGTCCAAAATCCGTGACCCTAGCGTGTCCAGATCATGAGATATCAAAACCGGAAGGTCTGCTGCAGTCCCAACAAAAGCTACCAGGGGGCAGAAAATCTAACTATTTCTAAGTCTCATCAAGACCTACCCACCTACTAAGTTTCATTCCAATCCATTCACTGCTCTTCGAGTTATCTTGCTAAACCAAACACAAACAAAGTTTAACATACACACACACACAGACAAACGCTACTGAAAACATAACCTTCTTGGCGAAGGCAATCAATATACAAATTTGGTGGAGGGGCTGATGAGCACGGGGAGGTCCTTAAGGAACGCGGGAGGACTCAGGGTTCCCATGACAAGAACCTCCAGACTGCAGAATTCATTTCTGCATCACACTATCAGACTCTATAACAGACAAATGCGGACTTAGTTTTTATGTGTTGTACATATTGTCATTGTCGTGAATCTGTATGTTCTGTTTGTACCTACGTTGTATTTTATGTATTCTGTAAGGTCAGCACAATTCAGCAGTCCATAATTTTTATGTACTGCTGCTATACTGACCACTGTTTTGAATAAAGAATAAAGTATAAAACACAAGGCTTAGGTACTATCTATCTTTTTACGTAGGGCCACAACAAGTAAATGTTATGGATGACATCATCAGCAGACCCCAAATCTGATGCGAGCGGGCGAAAAAAAAAACAAGGCGGGCGGAAAAAACAAGGTTCCTACAATTAAAAATTTTGACTCAATCATTGTACAAATGGTTTTTATTCAGCTGCAGTGGGAACATCACATATACACAGCCAGCATCACATATCACTGCATCAAAGTAAGAAACAAACTATTAAATCAGAGCCTTTTCTTGCCTCCTCTCTTCATAGTTATCTGCCATCCACCTTCCGGCATGGCAACAGACATATTTACCATTTTCGGCATGTTGACCACTGCCAGAAGGCAACAAAATTTCTTGTTTTTTTTTTCCAAAATCAGGCAAAAATTAATGCGCGCGGTGATGTTATCCATAAAATTTACTCGCTTTGGCCTAAAGTATAAAACACAAGGCTTAGGTACTATCTACAAATGTATCTTTTTACGTAGATATGACAATGATAGAAACAGCTTGTGAAAGTTCCCCCCATTCAACGAACAGTAAAAGCTTCAGCTGCAGACTGACAGCGAGAGTCCTGCAGGAAAGTCTGGCTTTTCTTGGCAGCGACTGCCGGATATCATGAGTGGATATGTGTGAATCATCGTGACTGCCGACTGCCGGCCCCTCATGGCCTTGACCTGATCTTAACCGTGACATCTCGGCTTTGGGAAGTGTGGATCATAATAAAAACAAGAGTTCCACGATTCCATACCTTCGCCAAATGATGGTAGCCATTCCAACTGACTAAATTATACATTTTCTCATTGTTTACCTATTCATTTCATCTTAAGACGGCTGGGTAGCCCCATTGCAATTATTTCTTTTATGCTGAATGGTAACATTCAATGCAGCAAATAAAAAAAACACATACATGTAAAGTGAGGGAGTATCTATTAACCCAGTACATCGACCGATGCAGGTAGACTTAGGCACAGCTCCAATTGTACCGACAGTAAGTGCATAATATAGACCCAGTATGTCTAGCCCTGGGAGTCTTGTTTCACAACTCAGAGTTTGGACGCGCGCCACTGTTGGGACCTTGATGAAAATAACTGCTGTCTCTCTAAAGGTTAAAGGTGTCCAATGCAATTTTAGGGCGGCAAAAGAAAACAAAAACAATTCGAATGAGGAAATTTGTCTGATATTTATATTTACTGCCATTTCCTAGCCACATTTTACATTTGAAGTGTTCCGTAGGCTCGAAACAAGCTACCAGAGGATTTTTTTTGCTGCCCTCATATATATCTAGACCTAGGCTACAATACACGCAACCGTTTTCCGTCAGCGAAATCGCATTTTTGCCTCACATAAATCAGTATACTATGGTATATGGTTGATTCAACTTATTGCATTAAAACAATGAACAGAAAATCCAATGTTGCAGGCCCAGGCCTAGGAATTGCATTGTACGTCTTTAATCAAAGGGGCTTTGTTTTAAAACAAAAGGGCCCGGACATTTAGAGAAGTTGGGTATAACTATCTACTTAAAAAATGTAGTTGCCCCTTTCTTTTAGATACCGCTCTCTGTAAGGCAAATATGCGATGTCGATGCGGTGGAAAACGGTTGCTTGAACTTATAAATTCGTCAATAGTAGACTATAGCAAGTTCTCGCTATTTCTTTCTTACCAGAAAATAAATTCCTCACGTACGTATCTAGTTTTGGTACTACTTTAAATGCTTAGTATGAAGTATGAAGTATGAAGTGATGATGAAAATGTGCTAAGAAATGCTATTTTTCAGACCGATTTCAACATCCAGTACATTTTAGCTTTGCCGCCGTGAGTTGCGATGGATGCCTTTCGCCTGATGACCCAAATAGCTTCGTTCTATGTGGAATTTCAAGGCATTCGCCTCACCGGATTTTGCGAAAAACTTATAAGGGAGGGGGGGGGGGGCAAATATTTTCATGTAAAGGCTTCCCCTTAAGTTACCGTAGTATTGGCAGAGCACTTTAATATAAAGATACAGGATGATAAGATGATCGATCAAAACAATACGTCAATGCTAGGAAGGGTTCAACTCTGTTTTGTGCAATCACTACAGTAGTTGTGATTGGAATACGAGTGCCTTTATATATTAAAGGAAGCGAAGCATCACTTTCGGTTTGTCGGTGTGTCGGCCGCAAAGCAGTGTGGGCAACCGCAAAGCATTGTGGGTGATTACGCATGGAGTGAAAGGGGTGAAGTTTGCCTTGCTTCTACTAATGATGATTTGATTATATGGATCTGCGCGCGCATGCATTTTCAGCCGTTCCCCCCCAAAAAGTTTTCAACCATACTCTAAATAAACAGTTGTAAAATGAGCAAATATATACCGTAAGTTGCAAAAAATTTTTTTTAAAAACGATACTAATCGTGTATGTCGTAGAATGCCAAAATCAAACAAATAAGGACGACAATGTAAAGAAATGAATTTGAAGAGTAGATTATTCGACATACCATACTCTGTGTCATTTGTTTAACCGTCATGACCATGTAGATTTCATAATAAAAGCATCTTTTTTTGGTTAAAATTTCTTTTTATTCGCACGCTCGCATCGGTTTTGGGGTTCCCAGAGGACGTCATCATCCATATAATCAAATCAACATGGCCTATATTGTAAATAAATAATATCATGCGTACCTGTCAGGTACCTGCGCGAGTCCCCTCCCCACACAGTGCACCGTCCTGTCCGCGCACTGACACACCTCCGGGCACCCCGCGATAGAGTCCGCCAGCACCGCCAGGAGCAGCCAGCCGCCCGCCCCCAGCCCTGCACAGCACCGCCGCATCCACCGCGGCAACATCGCCTGGAGAAAACACCAACACGTTAACTAACCATCGATAACTATAACCGTTAACTCATTAACCCAAACTAACCACCCAGCCCTGCACAGCACCGCCGCATCCACCGCGGCAACATCGCCTGCACACAACAACAACACGTTAACTAACCATCGATAACTATAACCGTTAACTTATCAACCCTAACGTTAATTAACAATCAATAACCATAGCCTTTAACTTATTAACCCTAACGTTAACTAACAATCAATAACCATAACCTTTAACTTATTAACCCAAACTAACCACCCCCAGCCCTGCACAGCACCGCCGCATCCAGCGCGGCAACGTCGCCTGCACACAACGATAACACGTTAACTAACCATCGATAACCATAACCGTTAACTTATTAACCCAAACTAACACCGCGGCAACATCGCCTGCACAAAACAACAACACGTTAACTAACCATCGATAACTATAACCTTTAACTTATCAACCCTAACCAACACCGCGGCAACATCGCCTGCACACAACAACACGTTAACTAACCATCGATAACCATAACCTTTAACTTATTAACCCTAACGTTAACTATCGATAACCATAACCTTTAACTTATTAACCCAAACTAACCACCCAGCCCTGCACAACACCACTGCATCTACTATACCGCCGCAGTAGACATGAAAGTCATGTACTACAACAAATAAAAAATGTAAGTATAAGTTTAGGCAGTGTCTTTAACCTTCAGGAGTGACCCACTACTACTGTCGCTACTTAACTTGTCGGGCACGTGATTTGGACGATTGGTCAAATGTACCAAAATGTCATTTTCTTCTCTCAACAGAAAGGGAAAACATCATTGGCCAGGCGTGAAAAAAAACGCACTAAAAGAGTGAAAAAGATACACACTATCTAAAGCTAATAAAGCTATAAAGCCAACCCTTCCACATCTGTATCTGTATCTGTATATGTATAGCCGGTATAACCGCCTTTCGGCGTAACACACCAGCTTCGCAGGCACGCGGCGCGGCGGCAGCTGGCTATATTACACCGATCGACTTGTTACACCTAACCCTTGAACTTCTAGCTCTAGACTTTGTTTAAAGATATCTATTGACAATGCCCTACTGTACTTGGTGACAGTGAGTTCCACTCTGTAATAGTTCTAGGAAAGAATGAATTCTTGAACACCTCAATCATTGGTTGATAACTCTGGTACTTGAAGGCATGGCTATTTCTTGTTCTCTTCTGGGCTGGTATTAGGTACTTAATAGTTGGGACATCCACCAGTTTATTAGTCATTTTGTACATTATGCATAGTCTGGACATCTTTCTTCTGGACATCTGCTAAGAGATTGATGTTCTGTGATTTTACTCTCCCCTCAACCACCCAAACGTGACCGGACGTTTGAAAACGCAGCCCGCCTGTGGCTAGCCGTGTTAATCTCGTGTTTAGTCTCTACCATACTCTCCAAGCAGAGGTTGTGGGGAATGATCGTTACCTTTTTATATATGGCCGTTTTTTTTTTGTCCTGATCCCCACCACCCGTCGGTGGCCGCGGAGCTTCTTTGGCTAATGGATACTGCCTGGCCAATTTGATACTGTCTTTTTGCCACCGAGAGGGATCTGCTTGGAGATTATCTCTACCAGGCTTCGGGAGCAAAATGTTCTCTTCCAGCAGACAAACTCCCCTGGCATGTTATCTCTCTATTTGGCCGATTTCTACTCTTTCAAGCCGCCGCCCGAAGCCTGGTAAAGGCTATAAGGCCATACCAAGTAAATTTTATGGATTTTGGCCTGTACCTGGAAAAAAAACCCACGGTATTCTGCTTCCCGTAACTATGATTAAAGAGTCACGACAGTGCCGCAAATAGGTTTGTACGGACGAAAGCTTATGAAGCATCAAGCAAGGAAATCATGACTTCCATTAGGAATTCAGTTTGGTACATGCTGCCACATTATTGAAGAAACTTGCTGACCGCTCCATCTATCTCCCCAAAGCACAAGACGACAACTGCTGTTTCACCTGATTTATTGCTGTTTTGATGATGAATAAATAAAAACTTCTTGCTTGTTACACTGTGTCACCTCATTCAATTTGTGTCCTAACATTTGTCGTCTCTTAGTATATTTCTAATCTAGGCATCTTGTTTTTTAGGGCCCTAGCTTCTTGGTTTTTTTTTCGCCCTCTCGCATTAGATTTAGGGTCTCCAAAGGACGTCATCCGTAAAATTTACTTGGTGTGGCCTGTTGCCCTTCTCCCGAACTGTGCAGCCGCAAAAACGCGCCGTTATTCCGCCCCCAGGTGTCACATCGGAAACCCCGGGCCCGCCTCCCGCACTCACCATCCCCTCAGACGAGATTACGGCCGACAGCGTTGCCATGACGACGACCTAACAGGTTGGCGGGAACGGCGGGAACGGCGGGAAGGCATTCTTCCGCGATTGAGGCCGCTCAATGTGAAATAACGAGGACTTCTGACCTTGAGGAAAGACGTCGCAAGTTTAAAAGCAAAACCATGACCTTGGTGCCAGGCAGTGGTGTTCCTTTTCCTGGTTTAACTCCTCGCAGTGGCGGTTTATTTAGATTCACACCCAACTGCGCGAATTACATGGTACGGTTGTGTGCATACAAACAAACAATTAGTGAACCGCTGATGTAGCGTTAACTGTAGTCTGTCCATAAATCAGGCTAAACTAGAACGATACTGACTTTTCAATAGAGGCAGCAACCGCTAAACCACAGATACATGTAGCTCAATCAATTGTACAAATGTTTTTAATGTTTCGTGGGTTTTGTTTAGCCTCCGTAGCAGACTTATAGAACTGGGGGTTTGGTGGTATTCGGCTGTTTTCTGATTAGCCCAGTTCTAAAACGGGGGTAATTCAACCAGGCCGTCTATGTTGCCTATATGCAATCAGAAAATAGCACAGAAAAGCTCCCAAAGACCCTGAACTGGCTGAATACCCCCCCCCCCCAGTTTTGGAATGCTATGGAGGCTAGGTTTTGTTGTCCAAAATCATTCTTTAAATCTTGCACTATATTCCAGATTTTGGTGGCTGTCTAGTTGAAAGGGGGCTAACATCAGGAATATTATTAAAGTCCATGATTCACAACCACTTGTTTACATACAAGAGGCGACGTTTCGATGCAGTCCGTCATCTTCATAAAGGCATTTATGAAGCTGGTTTACTGTGCACTGAAGCTACATTTTGTAGAGTTACTGTTAACAATGCGGTCCCAAACGTCAAATAATTTTGACAGACATATGTATATATATGGTGTCACCATAGTGAGATATGCTGTTCGAAATATTGTCCTAATAGATAGATATAGATAAAAAATATAAAAAAAAAAACAAATACATAAAATTAATGTCTGAAAATCCTATTTAAACGTGTGCACACACAGGCGATGGAAAGACATTGTAGAAGCATTAACTACGCTGTTTTGTCTATCAAACCAACGAGCTAGGTTCAGAGATTGAGTTATCAGTACATAAAACTTAACGTTCACATGTCTAGATCTTCCTTATCTGAGGAAAAACTTGGCACTTACAGTCCAGTGTAGATACTGAGGGGAATTCTCACACACTCAGTCGACAGACGGGGCTCTAGTATAACCGACCAAACCACACCGGCCAGACCTCATGCTAGCGGAGTATAATTGAGGATGATTAAACACGAATGTGGGAACGAAAGGCTTACAGACCAGTATACAGACGTACTATTACTCTCCAAGCAGAGGTTGGTGGAAAAGATTGTGACCTTTCTATCATATGTTCCGTTTGTGTCGCTGTTGGTGGGAAGTAGAGAGTCAGACAGAAAACCAGAAAACGGGGCATTTGATAAAAAAGTCATAATCTTTTCCACCAACCTCTACTAGAACAGGGCTCGAAATTAAAGGTGGTCCAATGGCCACTGACCACTAAAATTTATGCTGGGACAACAAAAAAAGACACTTTGGGACATTTTTGGGACAATAGAAAAATAATCAACATCAGAATGTCAGCCCTTCTTTTGGCTATCAGGCACACGCCCCGGCTTTTGGATCCGGAAACGTCCCCCCAAAATTTCCTACTTTATATTGCACATGGGGAGTTAAAATATAAGCAAAATAAAATTGACTTCAAGTTAAAGTCATACAATACTTCCCGAAAATCATATTGGGACAGTTCATCCTCACTGCGGGACAGTTGTAATTTATTTTTGGGACAGTGCTGGGACATAGGAAGAAAAGTTAATTTCAAGGCCTGTAGAAGACATACTGACAACAACAGACTAGACGACCGAGGGCGGGGGTTGGCTAAGGGGTAGTATTAGGGGGAGAGACAACGCGTACCGACATCACCCTCCCTCCCCCTTCCCTCCCTCGTTAACTTGTCAGCTGCTTGTTCGTAAACAAGGCACGGTCAGACCCCGGCACAGTCGGCGGTCATTGGTATAAAAACACTCCGAGCTAGCTAGACAGCTATCACAACACGATAAAAACACACACAATCCAACGCTACTAACTAGCTTTCTCACAGTCAGTCAATGTTTGGGTGCGTTTAAATACACACAGACACGTACACACATGATACGGTTGAACCCTACACCATTCGGGGCAGGTCTGACTAGCAGACAAACAGTGATATATGTGCCCGTCCTTCTACACTTCAGTCGTCTGCGTGATCCCCTGTATAGATGGCTGATTTACCGGCGTACTCACGGCGAAGTTTCGCTGATCCGCCATCAACGGTGTACCAGACAAGGCCGCAGGAGAAAAAGTGCCCAGAGTCTTGTATAAACAGCCGTATCACGAGCTTCCATCGTCAGGGTAGGAACCACGAAGTTTGGCGGTGATGATGTAGCCGCTACTAGTCCAGATCATGGCCGAGCTATTTTGATCGTGCGTGGTGGTGAGATATAAAAGGAGCGCGTGCGACTGAGGCGGCGGCCGGAGCCCGGTATGTGGCGCTGCGCGACAGGGCGGTCCTGACGCCCTCCCACCGGCCGCCACAGCGCGCCGGGCTGCCCGGTAATGCGGATCATATGACTCCCCTGGCTCTGACGCGTGTGTCGCCGCCGTGTGTCGCGCTTTCACTCTGGAACAACTTTCACTTTTTCTTAAACCACAGCTGACTATAGATTAGAATTGACGCGACAAGGTACAGGCAAGACCATCTACAGTTTAAAGGACGGTAATTTGAGGATGAAAAATAAAGTACAGACTAACTTGTTAAAGGCATAGAATGCAATTTCAGGGCGGCAAAACTGAATTTTAAAAATTTTCTGGTTATTCTTTTAATGTAGGAGATCTAGATAAGAATCAGTCCTATCCCATGCCTAAAGTATACAAATACCTATGTTGCTGCCGAAAAACGATTGCTTGTTTTGTTTCGTATCGTTCTGGCTATTTATGGGTGGTACCAAAAAATAAAAGGACTCCTTATGTAGCCTGTTTTCGGGCTATCTCAAACGCTTTAAGTATGATTTTATTACGAAAATGTGCTAAGAAATGACAGTAAATGTCAATACCAGACAAATCATTTCGTCATATTTTTCGTTTTGCCATCCTAAAACTTGCATTGGATACCTTAAGTGAAAGTTGTATATCTAGGATCAAGTGGTAAAAAACCACGACGGGGGCCGACATCATCTACCAGATACCTTTGACCCAGTGTTGACGTCACACTTCAAAGAAGCCACGTGACAAGCTTCACTGGGTCAGTCTACTGAGGAAGACCAGAGTGACTGGTCGAAAGCTTTAGGTGAGAGAACTTTTTTTGTGTTGGACCAATAGTTTTAACTTTAAACATGGTACAAAACTAATTTGTGTCGTCAGTTACTATGAATACAGTGTCATATACTTTTTCAATGATTGTTGCCACCAGTTACGTGTCGCCGTCAAGACAGTTTTGTATTCCGAAACATGCAATCACAAGACGTGGTGACGGCACACTCAAGTTTTGTTTTAACTTATATTAATGCCTCCACCAACACAGGGGACAATACAATACTCATTTACACCTGAGCGAAGTGAGGAAAGTCGTGTAAAGTGCCTTTCCCAAGGGCACAAGATCGGTGGCATGTCAGGACTCGAACCCGGGGCCTCTGGTTCCGAGTCGAGAACGCTGCCGCTACGCCACACGACCCCACAAGACTGTTGGGGGAATGAAACATCCCCCTTTTGCAGGTTGGGGAGTTCAAGGTCGAAATCCACGGGGCATCCACGTGGTTATGACACCGTCTAGACATGTCTGTCACTCCGGGAAGTCATGATCAGGGCTCGAAAGTACTGCATGGGTGCACGGGCACTTCTGTGCCTCTTCGACCGTAGATAGGGGTGCCAGATCAAGAGTATCAATGATTCATTGCAATTTTACGGAATACATTGCAATTTTACGGAATACATTGCAATATTACGGAATATAGTACAACCGTCTTATAATTAGTGTACAGTGCAATTTTACGGAATACAGTGCAATCGTATTAATATACAGTGCAATCGTATTAATAATTAATATACAGTGCAATTTTACTAGTAATCCATTATCCAGAGACGGTCGCCGGACACCGACTGGGACTAGCGACGAAAAAAAAAAAACGGCCTTATAATTAGAACACTCTATATTAGCTCAGTGACTAGAACACTTTGTATTAGCCTAGTATAGTACCCTTATATGTTCCTTATGTATGTATGTCTAAGTCAAGTAGTATCTTTTGTCTCCACTTTTCTACATACGTCTGCAATGTGTATGTTAAGTCTTGACCTGTACCTAGCCCGTCGGGGCATGAATGTACAATAAAGGTATTTCATTTCTATAAAAAGCTAACGATCATTCCCCCACAACCTCTGCTTGGAGAGAAAGCCTACGATGGGCTCCAGGAATGGAGTTAAGCGGTCTTAAATGGTTTATCATGACGATTTTCAAGGTTTGCAAAAGACCACAAGACTTTGATATTGGACAGATATGAGCCACAGACTTGTTCCAAAAAGGTATGGTACAGTGTATGTACCTAAAATCGTGTCTTAATCAAAACGTGGGCACCAAGACAAGGAACGATACACCTTGAAATCTTGCGAACAGATGAAACATGTAGAGACGCAGAAGAAAGATCAAGAAAGAGACACCAAAGAATTTACAAGAACCGTCAGCTGCCCTTCCCATCAACCAGCGGGGTCCCGCCAGCTGTCTGTCAGGGCTCATCGTCTCTTCGTCCGCGTTGCCATGACGACCCGACGGGTTGCCATGACGACCAGGGGCTGTCGGAATGCGGGGGTCGGCAGGTGATGACTGCTGCACCCCCGGGATGCCGGACGCGGGGCGAGCGGCTCGCGGTCTGATGCAGCAGTTGTCGCCGAAAAGGGCTTGAAATACTTTTTATAGGTAGGGCCACACCGACTTTACGGATGACATCCTCAGAAGATGGGAATGTGGGAAGATCAGATCAGAGAGATCACACAGAGAGAGCAGAGGGACTTTGAGGTAGTGAAGAATCTGACTCAAGACAGGGTAGCATGGAGGAACCTGACCCTGAGGCTGACAACTGACAGACCAGAAGGTCTACAGGCGTCCGGGTGAGCAGGTGAGCATCCTCAGAAGACCCCCAAACTAGTGCGCGCGGGCGAATAAAAAAAAAATTCCGGCCAAAAATAGAAATGCTACTAAACCACAGGAATACAAAGGCAAAGCTGGTATTGTGAATTTGCGGCAGAACATAGCGACATATACGACAAGCCGGCACGTGCTGGCGTTTTGTGGATTTATGAATCGGCACCGTACGTATGTACTGAGTTGTTGAGTCATAGAGCTTCAGTAGCCTGGGTGCCGTCCTCCAGAGCTACCACCGGCTCCGTATTGTCACAAACTACCATGGACTACCAAGGCCTAGAGCCAGGCCAGAGCCTCGAAGGACACCTCTTTGAACATGTTTGGGTGGCCAGGATTTAGCTCCCGTTGCGTGAAGGTCGATATTTTGCGGGGTGTAACATTCACTAAAAAGACATTCGCCATTCCACTTGAGCGTAACGTTAGTAACTTGGGGGAAAACAAGTTGGAAGCCGAGACATATCATTGTGGCGCCCTCTAGCGACAGGGTCCTGCTTTACAGCGCTGAAAACCCAAGCACGGCATGGCGACCTACATCCGGGCAATTACACTGTACTTGTACGTGTACTTGTACTTCTTACACAAATCAACCATTACTAATTCTGAGCCATCACAGAAAAGGGCTCAGAACGAAGTTCTTGCTCAAAATCATATACCGCATACTCAAGGCCAAGCATGGTGTTGTAGCGGCAGGTACAAAATCATGCCTGAAAGAGTTAAACGCTCTGTATTTGCCTGCTGCTGATCTATATGTCTTTGTCTTAAGCTTGTTTGTTGCATCTAAGCCGTTCATTTTCGCAATCAATATCAATAACAATTGTAGAGAGACCCATACTTAATAAAATTGTTAAGGCAAGGATATAATGTCCTTGGTTAAGGAAGGTACAATTTAGTATAGTACATCGTGATATCTAATTCTATAACTTTTTCTTATAATATACCATTTTATTTTATTGGTGTATGGGGTTTATTAGCTAGGCTAGTCTGTTAAGTCGTTATGGATATGTACGACATCTTGTTACCTTTCATGTGAGACTTCCCCTATCAATTCAAAAGTCCATTTTCAATGACAACGGGGATACAACAGTCAAGACATCATGACTTATCTGATAAATTAAAAACTGACAAGTCCTACCTTACTTTGGGAAATCAGACTATTCTTCTGAGCGAAGGTTGTACGAGTGCTGCGAAGAGCTTGCGCTGTGCCAATTGCAATGTCGTCGAACATTGTCAAATGCTACATCACTTCGCGGCCAAAAAAACAAGCTACAATCCCTTCTTGTTCTCCGGACAATCCCCTCCTTTTGTGCAGTCTACTGTAGAGCCCTCGGGTTTGCTTGAATGGTTGGTAATAATACCGATTCTCCGCGCCATCCATCACATGTACCACGCACAGTGCGGGTTTTGGCAGGGGAGGACAATCTCTGGTTAACTGGCACGTGGCGTGCCCTTCATCATCGGGACACCGGGGTGGTCTCTAGCCTCCGTAGCATAGCCTCCACCAGGCCTTTCTACGGGAATACGGATCGTAGAATTCGGCAAAAAAGAGAGTAAATTTGGCCAAGGAAGTCCGGCCGCGGGGAGGTAGATTCTTTCCCTCCGCGGTCTGTCAAACCCCAAGGCGACCAAACTCCCCTGGCAATTATTCTCCTATATACAGCCATCGTAGTTAGTCTGGTAGAGACTATCCGTAGCAGGCTTAAGCTTATAGAACTGGGGGTCTTCGGCTGTTTTCTGATTAGCCCAGTTCTAAAAAAAACGCTCTTATATGCTCTTATCGTAATGGTATGCTCTGGCTCTGTTGTGTACTACAAGTTCTACAGTACACTGTCACACACATGATGAATGTCCTATTGACCGCAATAGACATGGTGTGGATTTGATGGATGGTGGTCAACGCCCTGTAGGTCACCGCCAATCAACCACAGCGCCGTTCTGTGTACATCTGACCTTTTAATTGGATTCGCCGTGACTGAGGAGAAAGAAGCTGGGGCGAAACTGGAGGAGAGTGAAACTGATCCGTTTCACAGTCAACGAAAATTAATTCTACAGGACATGTGTCAAACCCTTGAATCCCCTCTTTATGTATCTGTATCTGTATCAGTATAGCCGGTATAACCGCATTTCGGCGTAAC